CATAAGGATGACATATATAACTCTTCTTATGCATATTTAGTTCATACTAAGTGCATAGTACTGTATGCATATTTACTTCATACAAAATGTAGGCTAGGGGTCAACGGTCAACGCCGGAAGTCAACGGTCAACGCCCAAGTCAACGCCGGAAGTCAACGAATTTTTACCGGAAGTCAACGGTCAACGCCGAAGTCAATGGTCAATTGTCAAATAATATTTAAATAATTAAAATAATAAAAATAAAGAATTAAGTAATAAAAATAAAGAATTATTATTTAAATGAAGAGTTAAATCTTGGTCACACATCATGTACCAATCTAGTGGCTAGGAATGGGTCTCACATTCACACTTTAAATATGTGTACTCATTGGATCCAATCCCTATATATATATATATATATATATATATATGAAAAATCCATTTGGATTAAATCGTAGGCACTCTCACTATAATTTCACTTATAACATGCATGTATGTGCCTTGCTACTGTTAAATACGTAACTACTATTTTGGACTTAATTGAGTTTTAAGTCCTAACAATATTAATTCTGCAGGTGATCATCGATCACTTGAAACGTACACAGATGAACTCATGATCAATCAAAGAATGTGGAGTTAGTATTTTTATTACAAGTAAATTATTAATTTGTCGTAGTAGAAGTCTAGAAGAAACAAAGACAATGAAATCGACTGCTAAGATAAACACAAACATATATATCAACAAAATGATGTTTTTTTGGGGGGCCAACGTGTGAAGATCGATCGATCGATCGAGCCCGCTGCCAATTACCTATAATCATTCATAATTATAATGCTCGCCAATTTGGTGCATTATCTAGTAATTTTCTGGAAAAAAATAAAAATAAAAAAAATCATATCATTCGTGTCAAAAGGTGGAGTGACCTATGGATTGTTGACCCAGCAACTATATATATATACATATATATATATAATATACCAAAATATTGAAAGGAAGCAGACCTAACCATTAACAAGTTATCATAATTAATTAAGGTTGACTACTTTAACATCATTTATATGTCTCTAAAAGATGAACAAAGGTTTTATGACAAAACGAAGTGTAAGTACTAGTCAAATCGATTTCCAACTGCTGAAACTAATTAAATTTTGTGTTCTAGCCGAATCAGGACTCGCTAATAAAACAGGTCGATAAAACAAGCTCCTCAAACTCGACTCCTTTATCAATATTAACGAGCTGAGCCAAAATCTTAGCTAGTATGAGGCGGACTCAAGCGCTAGCTTGAGTGTACGAGCGCTGCTCTTTTCGTTTAAAGTCATTGATTAGTATACTAACAAAGAATTTTATCATTAATATTATACTAGCAAAGAATTTATTTGAGATGATGCAACTTCAAAATGCAGAAATAATAGTTATAATTTTTTGAGTAGCAGAAAAAGAAGGATTAAATTAGAAAGTGTGCATATATAATACAAAATGCAAACTGGAATTAATTAAATTAGTAGAAAATAGTAATTTGTTCTTGTTTTGTAAGGTACGTTAATTTGAGGTGGAAAACAAACATGATTATGATTGTATTACCGCAAACATGGCTGCTACACAGCAAGTGGAAAATCATATTGAGTACAAATCATTGCTAAGGTAACACACATTTTAATCAAACATATACATATATATATATATATCATCCTAACTGCTGCTAACTTAAGTAATGATAAAATCATAAAATATGTTCACTAACTAGGAACAGGTTGCAAATTTGCCCACTAATTAACTTTTGTGAAATAAATAAATAATAATTAGTCCAAAAATCGAGCAAAACATACATACACGCCCAAAGCCCAAATTAATTAATTAATTGAGAATGCAAAAACTTAATTACTTGCACTATTAATAACTCAAGTGTATTTGGGTAGAATATTATTGTTCACGATTCGATAGATGAACCTTTCTACAATATTATTCGCAAAAAAAAAATTATTGACAAAATTGTCCTATATATGCTCAAAGTTATTGGAAATTCAAAATACACAATACATAGATTCACAAAAATTTAAACAAGTCTTATGACGCCTAGAATATCATGATCATCTACTATTTCAATATAGAATTAATTATATTATATTAGTTAATTCAAATTTTATTTTGAAATTTAAGCTAGTTTGCAGCTGGTTAATTAAGTTATGGGAAAAGTTGAGTACACAAACATGCATGCATGTGATTTTATGGAAGCCTGTTTGTTAAGTAATGATCATGATGAGACTGAATTACAAAATTGATATATATTTTAATTGGTACATTACATGCCGATCGAGTTGATTAATATGTCCAAGTTGTAACATACTGATACTTTGCAACATATTGTTAAAAAAAAAAAAAAATTGTTTGCAACATATTGTTGTGTATCCTCTATTTTGGTAAGAGATAGAAAAAAAAAAATAATAATAATAAAAGAACACAAATTAAATGTCCAAGTTGATTATAATATTGTCGTTTGGAACTAAGAAGACAAAGACTTAAAAATGATTGAGATCCAATAAATGATTGCATTTAGATTTTACCGTTCTCTACCAAACTGGGCCTGCATAGCCCCTAGCTTGTATGACTCGATCAATTCAAGGTGTAATAAGTCAATGTTTGAATAATAATGGTATACGGACCTTCCGGTTTCCGGATCCACATGGAAACCGACTAATCCGGTTTCCGATAATAATATATTTGCTTTTAAGTCAATGTATAGACTGCAAGAAATTAAGAAGGAAATAAGATATATATTATGCCTCTTAATTATATATATCATCACTAGAAAAA